ACTAGAAATACCATTTGACCCAGCAATCCCATTACTGGGTATATACTCAAAGGATTATAAATCATTCTACTATAAAGACACATGCACACATATGTTTACTGCAGCACTATTTACAATAGCAAAGACTTAGAACCAACCCAAATGTCCATCAGTAATAGACTGGATAAAGAAAATGTGGCACATACACACCATGGAATACTATGCAGCCCTAAAAAAGGATGAGTTCATGTCCTTTGCAGGGACATGGGTGAAGCTGGAAACCATCATTCTCAGCAAACTATCACAAGAACAGAAAACCAAACACCACATGTTCTCACTCATAAGTGGGAGCTGAACAATGAGAACACATGGACATAGGGGAACATCACATACCAGAGCATGTTGGTGGGATGGGGGGCTAGGGGAGGATAGCATTAGGAGAAATACCTAATGTAGGTGATGGGTTGATGGGTGCAGCAAACCACCATGGCATGTGTATACCTATGTAACCTGCATGTTCTGCACATGTACCCCAGAACTTAAAGTATAATTAAAAAAAGATTTATTGACTATAAGGAGGATATTATGCTGTAATATACTGTTCATATATTATGAGATTCTAATGGTTAGCATTGTTTAGTCATTTGTAAATATCTGCAGTGGCAAATTGTTAAGTATGGAATTTCAGTACCCCAAAATAGGTATACACACAAAAATTTAAGAATATTTATCATCAGTGCAACAATTTTCAGTCAGGAGCCTTTGCCCATGATAAAGTATGTAGGCTGTGGAATCTAGCCAACCTGGCTTTCACTCTTCTACTTAGTAGCTACATAACCTCAGACAGGCTACTTAGGTACTCTATTTTTCTTTGTCTATCAGAGGGATATATAATAATACTTACTTCTTAGGAGCTGCTGTAAAGATTTACCAAGATAATAGTAGTAGCAGAAAACACTTCTCTAGTCCTTACTGTGTACCAGACACTGATCTAAGCATAATACATTTAAAAATCATAATATCTCCACAACCACTGTATGCAGTGGGTACTGTTGTGTCTGACATTAAATATTAGCAAATAATACCAACAACTACCACCATCAAGAAGTCAACTACATTCTGATGACAATAAGAATGCATTGAAAATGTTACCATGTTCTATTGAAGTTTAAATTGATATTATCTAAAGTCATGTTTAAAGATTTTTAAAACTCTGTTTACTATATTTTTTACCCTTGCTTTCTTGATACTTTAATTAAAATCAGAATTAAGATGTGATGATCACCTGTCTTCAGATAAGCTATACTGTATTTTCAGCCACAGGTTAAACAGTTCAGGGGTATAGAGATAATTGGACAGAACATTTAGATAACTGAAGCCCTCACTGGCTACTAGAATTTATCAAGGGCCTGCATTACTCTGTATGCTTTTGGTGGTGGGTCATTTTTTAAATAAGCTGTGTAGATCCACAAACAAAATGATAGATTCAGAAATACAAGTAAGCTTGACTATTAATTTAAGTTTCAGTCATCAGTATCAGCAGTTTTTACTGTTTTTTTCCCTCAGCTGAGTGACAGAAGCAAAAGACACATATCAAACATGCTCTGGGAAAATTCACGAGACAGTTATAAAATATATACAATCTCTGTGTTTTGGATATATGACATAATCTTCCATCTTACAATGGCAGCTTATACAGGGGACAGGAAGGAGTTTTGCTAGAGTCCCAGAAAGTGATAGGCAATCTTTAACAGTGCTTTGAGCTATGGTTGACTCAGGCAGAATAGAACACCCAGTATCTCTGGTTAAAAATAACTCAGTAGAAAAATAACCATGCAAGCAAGCATTTGAACCGGAATGCATATATGTCTTAAAGCCTAATTTGGGGGAAATTTTCAAGCCCAAAATACTCTAGATATAAATGTGTTAAATGTGCAATCCAAGGTCAACCAGAGAACCTACAGCTAACACAATTGATAATATAATGCTAAACTGCAATATTGCATCATTAAAAGCTAAGAATGGCACCAGCATAAAACCATGGCTAACTCAAGATACCAAAGATGTCCGGAAGCCTCCCTTCGCAAAACAGCAGGAATGTCAGCTATCTAGGCATGCAATTTCACTGGTCAAGCATATTTGAGAGCCTTGCAGTAAGCCAGACCTTACATGATAGCCAGCTCTTAGTGGAGTATAGAATTGAGTAATCCTCGGCAAATACTTACCATGTTCTAATTTTAGCGTGTCATATATAAATGCCAACTTAAAATGACTTTAACAAGTAGGTTGCTAATAAGTCCTGAAAGTAAAAATGAAAGTTAATAACATTGTGCATCATTTGCCAGTAAGCATCTCCATTCCAAGTGTGTGTGTGTATATTTGCCTCTTACTATGAGTTAGAGGCCAATCAGGAAACTCTTATAGTCAGGAAGCTCTTATAATCAGCTGTGAACCAGGCTTTTAAAATCATTTCCCTTACCCACACACAGACTTCACTCTGCTTATAGTGTGGCTGCGCATAGTATGACTGTTTCCATCTTGACACTTATTTTCCCATTACTATATTAAAGTGACTTTTTTCTTTTGAATAGACCTTCTCAGGTAATATTTATGGAAACATAAAACCATTCCGGAAGGCAGTTTAACAATAACTACTTCATAAGTCTTCCCTTTGACTTAATAGTTTCACCCCTACAAATCTGATAAGTATATTTAAGGAATGGCCAAAATTATACATATTTACAAGAAAAATTATGGCATTTTTGCTAGTGCTTAACACAGGCAAAAAATTTATCAATAGATCGTAGGTTAAAGTGTATCTGTACAATAGTATGCTGTGTAGCTATCCAGAGGGAGATAAGAAAGTTTTATATACACAGATGCCCCTCGGCTTATGAATTATGATGGTGTTATGTCCTGATAAATTCATCGTAAGTTGAAAATACTGTGAAATTGAAAATGCATTTAATATACGTAACCTATTGAACATCATAGCTGAGCTTAGCCTGCCTTAAATATGCCTGGAACACTTATAGCTTACAGTTGGGCAAATCATCTAACATGAAACCTATGTTTTAATATGATGTTGAATATCTCATGTCATTTATTGAATGCTGTACCGAGGGTGAAAAACAGAATTGTGTTGCACCATCATAAAGTCAAAACATTGTAAATCAAACCATAATTAGTCAGGGACTGTCTGTACTGACATAGAAAGTCTTCCAAGACATGTTATAAAGTGGCAAAATATAAGTGGCAAAGCAGTGTGATGTGATCATGTGTATTTTGAATTATATATACACAAATTTGTATATAGGTGATGCTGGATTTATATTAAATATAAGATAAGATGAAGTTTGTGTTACAACTAAGTAAGAAAAGGTATATAAAATGATTTACATCATGCCTACTTAGTGCATTGAAATAATTAATAAAATTTGCCATTGTTTTTACCTTTATGGAGTGGATAGAGGAAGGAAAAATAGGGCTGCCTTTACTTATTTTACATGTTTTGCATTGAATGATTTTACATGTATTATTTTAGTACAATAAGAGAGAAAACCATTTACTCTTGGGAGAAGATCTGGAAAAGCATATTCACACTAAAATATTAATAACATAACAAAACTTGACATTTTTCTTCTGACACAAGATACTGAAGAACTCCTAATATGTGAGCACAGTGGTGACCTCTGATACTCTTTTGGACAAGGAGTCTTCTTAAAGTCTATAAAAGCAGTTTTGGAGTTTTGGTTATTTGTTTTCACCTTTAAATACCTACCCGTATTTGTAATTGTATTTCTTCCTTTGTGTTATCAGGAGTGTGGGAGGGGCGCGGCGGGGAGAGGGATATGTATACATATTATTTAAGCATTTAGGTGATTATTTTTCAAGAATTGTTGGAAAATTTAAGAAAGCAATGGAAAGAATAATGATAATAATTACTGCTTAGTTATCTAAATAATTTAAGCTTCTTTTTCTCCCTTCTTCCGAATCTTTTCTTAGCAAGTAAGAATCACCCTGAAAGTAGTTTAAAAGAGACATTCTAGTGACCATACCCAATGAAGTACTAAATATTCATCCTGTTAGAGTGATTATTACAAGGACTCTAAAGGAAAACATTGATTATGCTAGATTATTTATTTTAGAGAATTTTATTCTCAGCTTATAGTCCTGATTCTGTGAACTGGAGAACTCATTCAGAATAATTATATATCTTTAAAATGCTGATGTTATATTTTATTGAAATTCATTAAAAATTGTAGAAAAAGGTGCTCATTTGAAAACTTCCAAATGGCAGTTTTTCAGAATGACAAACTTAATTATGTAGAAATTGACTAAATTGGTTGATTCTTTCTGAAGTCAGTGTGGGATTAATAATGTCATGCATGGATCTATTGAGGACTTAAAAATACTTGTGGTAAACTTGATGATGTATTGCTATTTTGTTAGGAAAGATGGCCTCTTTTCTTAAGTTGCAATCCATTAAGGATTCAAAGCCCTAATGGTACATAAGCAATATTGTATGCTGTAAGCTCATTATCATTGGAGGGGAGGTTTAATATAGAGTTTAAGAGCACAAAATATGGAATCAGACCGTTGGTGTTAAAATCCTGGCTCTGCCACTTCCTGGCTGTGATCTTGGACAAGTTACTCTCTCTCTCTGCCTTGATTTTCTTACCTGTAAAACAAGGATATAAATAGTAAGTGGTAGAACTCTTATTTCATAAGGCTGTTGTAAGATTGTTGTAAGAATTTAATGGGTTAGTATTTATAAAGAAGGTCTACATATAGTAAGTGTTCAATAAGGGTTGCTACTATTCATCAGTTTGGTCATGTAATATCTAGTGTTATATATGTGTGTTGTCAAATAAACTAGTTGTTTACATATTATTGTTTAAAAGAACATTATTGAATTACAATCTGTTTTAAGTATCTTTTATACTTTTATTTTTGTGAGATGTAAAAACTGATTTTTTTACTAGTTGGTTTTGATTATTTGTTTCTTGTTTGTATTACAGTTACAAATTATAATACTGTGGTAGAAACAAATTCAGATTCAGATGATGAAGACAAACTCCATATTGTGGAAGAAGAAAGTGTTACAGATGCAGCTGATTGTGAAGGTGTACCAGAGGATGACCTGCCAACAGACCAGACAGTGTTACCAGGGAGGAGCAGTGAAAGAGAAGGGAATGCTAAGAACTGCTGGGAGGATGACAGTAAGTCTGATTTTTTTTGTAATATTGTATTCTCATGATTAGTTTTTAAAATATATATTAATGGAAAAGATAAATTGGATGAAAAGTTTGAAATCAATAGTAAATTTGGCTATCAATAAATATTAGGTGTCCTTCTTACTAAAACGTAGATTATGAAGCAGAGTAAGACAGTTATTTTGACCATATTTACAATGCATATAATTTATTGAAATTTAGTAGAATTTACTAACCAGGATCAAGCTTTCCAAATATTGTTGATATAATTGAACCTACCTTTAATTTTTTATTGTAACCCCAAATGAATACTGTACTTAGAAACCAATAAATATTATATTGATATAGTGAAATTATAATTCAATGTGCAAAAATCCCAAACAATATAAATCATGGAGGTATTTTTAGTGCTTGTAAGCCTCTCTATACATACATCAGAATCCTTTAAGTAAGATGCGTTTTTTTTTCACTTTATATGTTTACTTTTACTCAAAGCATGGCTGAGTGGAAGGAGCAGTGAAAGTAAGGAGACCCTCTACTTGCTGCACTTTTAATGAATAAACAATGAAAGTTTAATCTTCTTCCTCATCTATCAAATGGAGAAATTGGACTTAGTCTTTTATTCTAGCTCTAAAATTTCTTCTTTTTACTTTTCCTAATAAACTAATTAAATTATTTAGCCTGTCTTGCCAGGGTAAGCACCAGTGATATAAAAATAGGATATGGAAGTGGCATAGTATTAATTCGAGAGGTTGGGGATCAGGAACAAGGACATCAGAAAAGGTAAACAAGTGCATGCAATAACTCAAATCCAAGACCAGTCAAAGGAGAAGCTTCCTAGCAAGAGTTCAAGTTCAAAGAGGTCATCTAGATAAGATATCAAAACTAAAATCTGGAAAAGTGGGTCAGGCATGCAGGTCAGGATATCATCTGGATAATGAAATGTGGAAGTATAGATAAAAGCTCAGATAATAGGCACAGATTGGCAGAAGTTAAGATTTCTACAATATGACAAATCTAATGGTTAACAAGGGACTTTGAAAATAATGTAGATCAGCCCTCTCATTTTATAGTGTTCATTTGTCCATTCAGCAACCTCTGTAGAAATTGGTTGCAACTGTGGATAAGACTCTCTGCATGAATGATGCATATAGGGCTTAATGGAAAAGAGAGATAAATAAGTCACACATACATTGTAGTTTTATTTAGGTATACATTATGTGGCAGCATCAAGGAGGAGCATCTGAATTAGAGAAGGAAGGGGAAGTCCTAGAAGAGTTCTGAGTGAAACAGAATTGGTCTTTAGTTCTTAAGGACCAATGGAGGTTAATTTGGCAAAGTAGAGTGAATATAAGGTGTTTCAGGCAAAAGAGGCAACACACATGAAACCACAGACACTTGAGCAAAGTGGTCACAGAAAATGAGATCAGAGAAGTAAACAAGGGAAAAAATATGAAGTGATTTGTGTACTGTGTCAAGGAATTTGAACCTTATCATGGAAGTTATGAGAAGAACATCATTAATGTAATTTATAAATAAGTCTGGTGCAATATGGAAAAAGAATTTTACAGGGAGGGAGGCCCAAGCAGCTATATCTGCTGTCTGCCAGGCTGGGATAGAGTGGGGCCCATGTATGCTCACATGACCAATTCAGGATCCACCACCATTCTTGCAGGACTGAGGTGAATCTAAACCACACATGACCATGCCTGCCAGTCCCTCCTAAGATTGCCTGCCTGGCCATTGCTGTGGAGTAGGATCCACAGCATAGCCTCCATTGCCCCACCTGAGTGGTTTATTGCTACCTGGGAACACTTCACTCCTCCCATCACTGCCAGTGGTTGATCCTAAGGAGCCAGAGGACAGATCCACTGGCTTGGTCTCAGTTTGCCAGGACTCAAGCATACCACCCAAGAATATGGGGATGAGATCTGTGGCCTGATCTCAAGCAGGGGAGGAACCCCCACTGTCAGAACACAGAGAAGAGTGTGGTGCGGGTTTTTCAGGTGGTACAGAAGCTGGGCACCCCTCCCTTCATGAGAACAGACTAGGAAGGGTGTAGCCTCATAGCCTTGGTTTCTGCTGCAGGGAGTTTTGCATTCTGGAATGCCTGGAATGGCATGGCAGTCTGGACACAGGTGGTTTGGGATTTGCATAACTAATTGGGCCGGCTGCCAGGGTGGACACTGGAGGGAGACCCACCAGTCAAGGGTGTAGAAGCTGGGTGGGCCCCATGGCCATCTGCTGGAATGAAAACCCAGGGCCAGCCCTCTTATCCTGAACCAGCTCTTATGGCACAGGAGAGATGCCTCCACCCCTCCCTAGAGTGTTGTTCCAGCTGCCTGAGAACTGCCCCAACAGCCCTACCAAGGTCCCATCTGCCTCAGAGAGCCTGATCACAGGCTTACCGGACACAGTCCCACCCAGCTTTGCCCCCTCTAGCCAGCCTTGGGAGCGGAGCATGGAATGGGACCACTGAGAGCTCTACACCCCCACCCATCACCAGGGACACCCGCGTATTTCCTATCAACAAAGGCCAAGTAAAAATCCCACTGTCATCACTACAGCTGCCTCTCACCTGCCAGCATCACCTACTGTCCAGGAGGTCAAACTTCATGGCCTGTCACAACAACTGTTGATATCATTGCACAACACTTAGACAGCTCTTCCCTGCAGGCATCACCTGCTGGCCTGTAGGGTGAACTACACAACCCAGTATAATTCCTGCTGACAAGTACACAGTGCTAAGGAAAGAGATAATCTTCCCCCAAAAGACCTCCAACTTTGCATCTCTTTAGGAGACAGTGAACCTTTCTACACATACAGCGTTCCACTACTACAAACTACAAACAATTAACATTTGAGAAAACGACTACACTGAGGCTATCTATAACCAAGGAATTTATACAGAGCCTTGGCCCCCTAAAAGCACATAAGCAAAGCCAAAGGACACAACCCAACATACGCAAGAGTCACACCCTCAAGAGGCAAAGAAAAATAATCCCACCCAAATTAAGATCAATCCAAAAATAAGTGCTTTTACACATGAGAAGGAACCAGCACAAGAAGTCCAGCACCATGAAGAAATAGAATGTTGTGACATCCCTGAGGGACCACATTGGCTCTCTAGCTGTGAATCCTAATGAAAATGAAAACTTTGAAGTGACAGATAAAGAATTTAAGATATGGACTGTAAAGAAGCCCAGTGAGATCCAAGAGAAAGTTGAAAACCAAAGCAACTAGAGAAACAATCTAAGAAATGAAAGATAACATAGATATATATTTTTAAAAAACAAATGGAACATCTGAAAATGATAAATTTGCTGAAGGAACATCAAAACACTGTTGAAAGCCTTAACAATAGACTAGACCAACCAGAAGAAAGATTTCAGAGCTTGAAGACTAGTCTTCAAATTAACCCAATCAGACAAAGAAAAAAATAATTTTTTAATGAACAAAGCCTTCAAGAAATGTGGGATAATGTAAAGCTACCAAACCTACGACTTACAGGCATTCTTGATGGAGAAGAGGAAAAAGTAAAAAGCTTGGGAAAATATTTGAGGGAATAATATAGGAAAATCTCCCAATCTTCCAGGGATGTAGACATCAAGATACAAGAAATTCAGAGAGTACCTGAAAAATACTGTACAACATTAACATGTCCAAGGCATATAGTCATTAGGCTATTCAAGGTCAATGTGAAAGAAAAATCTTAAATACAGCTAGAGACAAGTGTCAAATCACCTATGAAGGAAGCTCATCATCCTGATGGTAGACTTCTCAGCAGAAATGTTGTAAAACAGAAGAGATTAGAGGCCTATTTTTGGCCACCTCGAAAAAATGTCAGCCGAGAATTTTATATCCTGCCAAACTAAGCTTCATAAATGAAGGAGAAATAGTCTTTCCCAGATAAGCACACATAGAGAGAATTCATTGCCACTACACCATCTTAGAAGAAATGCTCGAAGGAATTCTGAACATGGCAGTAAAAGGATAATACTTGCCATCATAAAAGCACAGGTAAGTAGAAACCTCAAAGATCCAATAAAGCAATTACACAACTGAGACTCCAAGGCAACTAGCTAACAAAACTATGATGGGAAAAAAACACACACATTAATATTAACCTTGAGCATAAATGGCCTAAATATTCCATTTAAAAGATAAAGACTAGCAAATTGGATAAAAGAAGAAGGACTCAACCATCTGCTGCCTACCAGAGACCCACCTGATGGCAAAAGACAACTACAGACTCAAAGGGGCTAGCAGAAGAAAAGAAATAACAAAGAGAATGACTAAATGAGATTGAGACCAAAAAAAGTGATAAAAAGCATCAACATAGTGAAGAGTTTGTTCTTTGAATGGATAAACAAAATTGGTAGACCACTAGCTAGTTTAATGAAGAAAAAAGAGAAAATTCAAATAAGCACAATCAGAAATGATAAAGGTGGCAGTATTGCTGATACAACAGAAATACAAAAGCTCATCAGGGGTTACTATGAGCATCTCTATGTGCACAAATTAGATAACCTAGAAGAAATAGGTAAATTCCTGGAACACACAACCTCCCAAGATTGAATCAGGAAGAAATAGAAATCCTGAACAGACCAATTATGAGTAAGGAAATTGAATCAATAGTAAAAAACCTTCCAACAACAAAAAAGCCCAGGACCAGAGAGATTTACAGGACTGTTTTGCCATATCTACAAAGGAGAGCAGGTTACCAGTCTTACAGAAGCTATTCCAAAATACCAAGGAGGGAGGGATACCTCCCTAACTCATTCTGTGATACTGGTTATCTCCCTGGTGAATATAAATGTAAAAATCATCAACAAAATACTGGCAAACCAGATTTATCAGCACATCAAAAACAAAATGTATCACAATCAAGTGTATTTTATTCCAGGGATGCAAAGATGGTTCAACATTTGCAAGTCAGTAAATGTGATTCACCACATATTCAGAATTAAAAAGAAAAACGATATGATCATGTCAATCAATAGATG